TATAATCCAGTGAAATAAATTTGGAAAGAGGAAAAAAGGGACATGAAGAATTCAGAAGATTAGAATTTGGGAGAACACAAAGAGTGGATGCACCTGCGCCATTGCAAACGATTTTGAGCCATGTCATTCAGGGTCTCTAACCATCGGTTGCTATCATCTCGTGGTCCCCAACCAGGTAGTCTACACCTACCAACATGACTCAGTCCACCTGTCAGTGACTTCATGGACTTGTGCCATGTTTTGGTTTGGCCGCCCCTAGCTTTCTTCCAACCTACTCCTATACCACTGAACATAGCACGTCGAGGTAGTCGGTCGTTGGGCATACGTAACACGTGTCCCAGCCATCTCAACTGATGAAGTTTCACTACTTCATCAATTGATTTGCCTAGTACCCGTTTTCTAACAACTGTGTTACTTACTCGATGGTCCCAGGATATACGGGCAATCTTTCGAAGACACCTATGATCGAATACTAGTAACCTACGAATATCTTCTACTCTTACCGGCCATGTTTCACTGCCTGTTATGGCTTTGAATGTCTGGTTTTTCTATCACACGATTTATCTACCAATCCGAATACGACTTATACGGATCTTTACACTAGGCCAACCAATGACGTTCAACCGGTGTGGGCAGTTTAGCGCCCTTTATTGGTCCTGTCCTACGAGCCCTTCCACTTGAGTCCAGAACAAGATACCAGCTTCCGAATCAGAGCAGATCGTTTATTTCAGGCATACTTGGTTTATATATCAATCACACAGACCGCAACGTACCATAAAATAGGAAATAATATTTGTACACAAATAAGCCCAAAAAGTGGCTGTGAATGTGGGAGGCAGTAGTTAATAAACTGAACATAACTTAAGAACCGTAAATCGTACAATAATAAGTTATAGGTCAAAATAAAGCTTATCATAAAAGGAATATAAATATACATAGTGTAATTGTTGAGTAGTTATACAATAAGAATATTTATAGAATATTAGTCCATGAATAGTCCTTGGAATTTACCTGTAATTTAATCTTCACCGGATATAACACTGCCATAAAGTAGGACGGGACGAACTGCTGCGCAGTAAACGCGTCCTTTGTTTGATAGACGGATATCTCGCCTACGCCATAAATGACGCAAGTTGGCAAAAGCTAGTCGAGCCTTCTGTATCCGTGCTGAGATTTCTTCACACACCAGACCACAAAGGCTGATGAGACTTCCAAGATAAGTGAAGCGGTCGACACACTCAACTACTTCACTCCCTATTACTAGTTCGGGTGTCGATGTAACCCAATCCTGAAGCAACATTTTGCATTTCGAGGGGAGAATCGCATCCTAAACATGCTTGCATTGTTTGCTTAGAGTGGTCAGAAGACTGCATTTTGTCAGCGTCTTCACCAAATAAAACTATGTCATCAGCTGAGATTGAAACACTTAACTGATATGCATACAATCAGAAATAAACTAATCAATCAAACTGCTTTATAAAAGCTGGTCTGAATGTAGTGATTTCAGATGGCGAGAAACAGGCGTCTAGTGTTTCATTTACAATGGAGAATGCACCACATATTGTGTAATTTTACAAAAAAGAAAACGAATGAACGATAGACGTCTTTTTAAACAGACAAATACACTTCGACTTAAAAACGTTGACAATGTGGTTCATCCAGGTACGAGTCCAAACTTATTTAAGATAAATTGCAGCAAGGTCATGCCTTTTGATTTCCGGTCAGAAAATAACATTCTTTAAGCAAAAATATGCAACCAAGACCCGCTCTCCGTATATTACCAGGTTAACTGTTCCTGTGGAACCATTAATATTAGATTAGAAATTATAGGTTCGTCAACACGTTACACATGTAGGGCTGGTGGAGATATCACCTATTTTATCGCATTCAGGCCACAGAACCGATATGAAGGTCGCTAAATAACTACTATCCAGCCACACAGTGCCAGAATTCATTTCTTACGCGCAGCGGATTGCACAAATCAGCTCAACCTTCGTGTAGGGAATAGGTTTGGCCAGCTTTCTTTCTCCTGGTCATGTACCTAACTGTGCGTTAGCACTGACATTTTGCAACCTTATTTCTGTCCTTATGTAGTCTTTTATTTCAATCGGTTTGCCTAATTATTTCTGCTTCAAATATATATATATATATATATATATATATATATATATATATATATATATATATATACGAGGTATAATGAAAATCCAATATTAAGTTACATTTTGTCACTTAGCTTGTTAAAGTCTAGGTCCAAATCTCAGTAGTTCTCAATACGTTTCTAGTGCAACAAGTATAGGTAGGGGTGGAGACATCTATACTGCAGTTCAGCCAAACATAAAGACATGAAGTTATGCCTCGAACTAGGAATTTTTTAATCCTGATTCGATAAAGGGAAGTCAGTCAGCTACAACGTAGGACCAGGCACATATATGCATCGGTCCAGGTTGCAATACCTCATTAGCACAGCAAGATGAACACCGGCTTCATAGGAGTGGTTAGGTAAAAGGTGGTAATATATAAGGATACAGTACAGGAAAAAAGAATTAGTTCGTAGAAAGAAAGATATGAAGCGATTTTAATCTCTTAGTTTGAGGGCAGACAGGGAGTGTATACACCGACGCCACTGTGATCGATTCTGAGCCATGTCACCAAGAGTCTCCAACCATTGGTTACGATAGTCACGCGGACCCCAACCAAGTAGTCTGCATCTCCCAACATGGCTCAGACTACAAGTTAGTGACTTCAAGCACTGATGCCACGTTTTGGTTTGGCCGCCCCTAACCTTCTTCCAACCATCTCCAACACCGGTTAGCATTGCACGTCGTGGTAATCGGTATTCAGCCATAAGTAACACGTGGCCCAACCATCTCAGTCGATGAAGATTCATAACCTCATCAACTGATTTACCATCATTCCCTAATACCCTGCGTCTAACCTCACTATTACTTACCCGGTGATCCCAGCATTATTTCTGAGGCATCTGTGGTCAAATATTAGTAGCTTACGAGTACCTTCTATTCTTAATGGCCATGTTTCGCTGCCGTAAATTAAAACAGAACGGACTGCCGCGCAGTATACTCGTCCTTTAATTGATAGACAGATATCTCGCCTTCGCCATAGGTGACGTAAGTTGGCAAAAGCCAAACGACCTTTTCGAATCCGTGCTGAGATTTCGTCAGATACCAACCCATTACGGCTGATCAGACTTCCAAGATAAGTGAAGTTTTCAACGCGAACGACTACTTCACTCCCTATCCTTAGTTCAGGTGTTAACGCAGACCAGTCCTGAAGCAACAACTTGCATTTAGAGGGAGAGAAGCGCATTCCGAACATTCCGGCATTGTTGCGTAGTGCTACCAGAAGACTCTGCATTTTGTCAGTGTCTTCACCAAACAGGACTATATCATCTGCGTATTCTAAGTCGATAAGTGGACCTCCTGGTAGGAGATCAATACCCGAGAATTCAGTCGACGAGAATGTTATCTCCATCAATAGGTCTATGATGAAGTTAAACAAAAATGGAGAAAGTGGACAGCCCTGACTGACACCACTTCAGGTTGCAAAAGTAGATGACATTTCGCCATAAGCTCTCACTCGACTAGTAGTGTTCGAGTAATGAGCCTTTACAAGGTTTATGTACTTCTGAGGTACGCCTGTCGATGACAGACACTGCCACAGAATCTCGCGGTCTACGGAGTCAAATGCTGCTTTCAAGTCGAGAAAGACCACCATTGTCGGACGCCGATAAGTATGCCTGTGTTCTAGAACCTGACGAATGGTGAATATGTGGTCGATGCAGCCACGACCAGGTCTGAAGCCAGCTGGATTCTCTCGTGTTTGCAGGTCACAAGTCTTAGTTATGCGACTGATAATTATCGAGGCTAGTTTTTTCCTTAAAGACTTCTGGAGCCAATCCATCTGCCCTTCCTCGTTTCAGATTAACTATAGCCTTTTGAACTTCTGCTAGGGCACACTAATTGTAGTAGCGCAAGTAGTAAACGTGATACTCGTCAACACTCAGTTCATTAGGCCCCACAAAGCCGAATGTCAACAGACAGCTGCAACTCATACCGGACATACCACAGGCGATTTGTTAGCTAACATACTTCTGGAAGTCTCATATTGATTGCGACATATATGTCCTCGCACTGAGATAGAGCCATTAATAATAATCACACACCCACAAATTATATTCCTAACAAACCTGCCATTGATATCAATCTTATCAAACAACACTCTGCATAACTAAGCTAACAGAACGTCGCGCAACACTACATGGTGAAGCCTCCCAGGTAGAAGTCCGGACTCCCTCATCTTAACTCACCCGGTAATTCGTATGCCAGGCGGATAAAGCAAGACGCAGACGAGTATTAACAACCAGGTTTTTGGACTACCTGGTAAAGGTTCACGTGGTTAGCATGGCCGACAATGGTTCTCGGAGGCGCTAGTTCACTGTTTTCCTACAAATCTAAGACCTCTCTACCCTCCACAACTTATTTTATACATCACTTACTCATATTTCCCCAAGTCGTAAACTCTATGGCTAATTCTTTCCGTTATTGCTACTACCTATACTATTCTAGGATTTGCCGTAACAACTACACCACACTTCTAACGAGGTATAACAACTTCAGGTCCTACGTCACAACTGATCCACTTAAAACACCTATTCATGTTTGAACAAAGCAACAAAACTGATTTCAGTGTCACATATTACGGCCATATGTCAGTAAAGTGCGAGTCAGGTAAGCAGTGACCAGCTTAGTTTTCTTATCAATTTACAGCCCGTAGTCTGCCATTAAGATTCTAAATTGGAAAAGTTTACTGTGGCATCACACAAGCTGCTGTATTTTGATCTCAGTGACAAATACAGAGATTGTAACAGATCAGACCACAACACAATAAACAGAGCATAACACTATACCTAACAGCTGAAACCTAGAAACAACTCATAGAAACATGAAATTTATTAGGCTTATTTTTAAACAATCGTTAATTCATGCTACTTCGTTTTCTACTTCCTCGAAATCCCCTTCCTCTTCGGCTGTTGCATCTTGATACTGTTGATACTCGCTGACGAGATCATTCATATTTGATTCTGCCTCTGTGAACTCCATCTCATCCATACCTTCACCTGTATACCAATGCAAAAAAGCCTTGCGTCGGAACATAGCAGTGAACTGCTCGCTAACACGCTTGAATAACTCCTGAATAGCCGTACTGTTCCCGATGAAAGTGACGGACATTTTCAAACCTCTTGGTGGAATGTCACACACAGCTGTCTTGACGTTATTAGGTATCCATTCGACGAAATAGCTCGAATTTTTGTTCTGAACGTTAAGCATTTGCTCATCAACTTCTTTCATTGACATGCGCCCTCTAAACATTGCGGCAACTGTTAGATATCGTCCATGGCGTGGATCGCAAGCGGCCATCATATTCTTCGCATCAAACATTTGTTGAGTTAATTCAGGTACCGTAAGGGAACGATACTGCTGGCTACCACGGCTAGTAAGAGGAGCGAATCCAGGCATGAAAAAGTGTAGACGTGGGAATGGTACCATGTTTACAGCTAATTTCCTTAAATCAGCATTCAGCTGGCCGGGGAATCGAAGACATGTCGTAACACCTGACATGGTCGCACTTACCAAGTGATTTAGGTCACCATATGTTGGAGTGGTGAGCTTTAAAGTTCGGAAGCATATGTCATACAGCGCTTCGTTATCAATGCAATATGTTTCGTCAGTGTTTTCTACAAGCTGGTGAACTGAAAGAGTTGCGTTGTACGGCTCTACAACAGTATCAGATACCTAAGAATAGGACTATAAATAATTGAGTTTACTTTAGGCGATGGAACGACTGAGAAGGTATTCATAATACGGTCTGGATACTCTTCACGGATTTTAGAAATAAGCAGTGTCCCCATTCCGGAACCAGTACCTCCTCCAAGAGAGTGAGTGAGCTGAAAACCCTGAAGACAGTCACAAGATTCCGCCTCTTTGCGAACAACATCTAAGACGGAATCAACCAACTCAGCACCTTCGGTGTAATGGCCTTTCGCCCAATTATTTCCAGCCCCACTTTGTCCGAAAACAAAGTTATCTGGTCGGAATAACTGACCAAATGGACCAGCACGCACACTATCCATAGTCCCAGGTTCTAGGTCGACCAGAACAGCACGAGGCACATACTTTCCACCGGTTGCTTCATTGTAATACACATTTATGCGTTCTAGCTGAAGATCCGAGTCCCCATGGTACGTCCCAGTTGGATCAATGCCGTGTTCGTCTGATATTACTTCCCAAAACTAAAACCATAAACAATTTAAAATTTTAGTGTCATACACCTCACCTTAGCGCCAATTTGGTTGCCGCACTGACCTGCCTGTATATGAACGATTTCGCGCATCCTAACAAGAGACGCGACACTAAAACAAACAGCGAGCCGGAAGTTTAAATGCAGTAAAATGCCGGTGTCATAGATACAATCCAAGCTTGATGATCAACAGTTAAAACAACCGCAAAAGATTTTCATTATATGAATTATTTCGAAATTTTCCAACGTACTTTTCTTGCAAACCTCTGAAAGCTTTCTTTAAACGTTTTTCATAATCGTTTCGAGTACTCAAATCCAAGCCAAATTGTTGAGCTTGTAGATACTTACTTTTATCACGAGAACAGTATTGGTTTAATGAAAACAATTATTATAACTGACTGTACCAGTGCTTGTTTTAATGTGCTTTTGTTTAACTGTGCTAATTACAGCCATTATTTTCCATCATTGTTTCGCGGTTCTTGGCTTTGCTCGCACGTACTCCGTTCTCCTGCTTTCGCTTGTACCATTTTGTGGCACGATCTTGGTATTCATTCGATCCCACGAGATCGCCAATTGAATAAACTTGATTCTAATCCGTCTTCTGATTTGTTTGGCACGTGTTTTTTGGTAGCGATGTTCGTAGTCAATTGGGACTCGACACCACGCTACAAGCTTTTAAATTCAATAAACTATTAGCGACTATATTTATAAGTGTCTTGGAAGTGTTTCTCTAATGACTTATGGGATCCTAAACACTCGCGTACTCCGTAAATATCTATTTAAGCTTAGTATTCATTCCAACATTGGGATAATACGTAGACTTAACATAACAGTGTGGACTGTAGTCACACATTTTACTTTTTCCGAGTGGTCAAATTCTAGATTTCACTGCCTGCTGATCTAGTTCAAGAGACTTCGCAGAAGTCTTTTAAGCATATTCTTAAGTAATAATGATTGTGTAGTGAAAAAAAACACGAGCGGGGACAATCGAATATATTTGAGTACAAAATCACAGGGCATCTTCCTAAAATCCGAGAACCATACTGTAACGACCGAACAACCAATATTCGGTTGGAACAACGAACTGACGAACCAAAATTTCATTTGATTAGACCAGAGCACGTTCCTCTGTAAAGCTCACAACGCGTTTTTGAGATACTCGTATTATATTATATCAAAACACAAGCTCTGTGCTCAATATAAACGGTTCTAATTTAGAAAACAGAACAAATTACATCAAAAATACAAAATACCTGAAACAATACAGCCTGTGCTATACAGTCAGAAGTTTCTCTAACTCAAAGTAGCGCGCTAAACAATGAAAGAGACAGGTAATACTAAGGGGTTTGATACCTCAGAATCAATAAAAATATTCCCAACAAGATGGGATCAAATATCTATCTGCAGGGATTCCAGCAATCCTCTCAAGCAGACAATCAAGAGGTTAACAATCACACACTGAACCACGCCGTGACCTTGAGCTTATTCAAACACAACCTCAATCTCAATGGTCCGGCAACATGTAATGATAACGCAGAGAAATACCTAACAATGGAGAGGGCGCGAACAATGAACTGAATGGACTGGGTTTGATCGGATGGCATGGCTCGTCCATGCAGGCGTTGTCCATCTCAATGTTACTTTATATCTTCTATTCATATTAAATATATTGTTCTTTCTCTAGCCTAACCTTGTTCTACATCATGTATTGGTAATTGATACGATACAGTGAGTTGGTGTAGTCGATGGTGTGACTTCCACGTAAGATCTTATAGATTAGGCAGTTATATCATGACAAATCTACAAATTTAGGATTAGGTCTATTATTAGAGCAGTACTAATATCATAGTAGACCATAATTCTACAACGTTATATTTAAGCATAAACTATTTGTAAGTGATCTAGTAGCGTACTATAATAAAACATTTTATTCTCGATAGCTAAATGTTGTGTGTTATGTTAGAATTTCATTCATTTGAATCGAATATAATGTTATCAAGCCAATCGTTCTGACTGCATTCCACTAAATAATTGTTAAATATGCTAACATAACGCGATGAAAAATGAAAATTCCCCTTTTTAATTCATTGAAATTCCCATTCAACTCCGCTTGTAGCTCTTGTAGAGCTGCTGCCACATAAAGGATGAGTGTTTGGCGTTGGTTCAGCAAGTCAATCCCGAAAAAACCATCTCGCTAACAAACATCAACCAGACTGAACAAATTAAACCATTTAAACGCTACCCTCTGAGTTGAAGGAAGTATTATGACGCGTCATGATAAAAGCCGAGATTCTTCGAACGTCTTGAGACCCATTTGAACAACAACAGAAAGTATATGGAATGTTCGGACGCGGTGGGAAACCGGGAGGACAAGTCCAATTGCAACGGAGATGAGACGATACAACCTAATTGTGATTAGAATAAGTGAAACCCATTAAATCAAAGTTGATCAGGAAATGATAGATCCGAAATTGATGCTGCTGTATTTGGGTCACGAAGGAGAAAATGCTCAGGGAGTTGTTCTGATGCCGTTCAAAGAAGCACATTAAGAGCCTATGGGATGGGAATCTCATGGCTCCGAGATCATCATAGTGTCCTCCAAAATGAAGAAGTAGGGTATCACAATGAATGCTACTCAATGTTATACACCCACAAATGATAGCAACGACGACTATAGAGACCAGTTTTACGAGAGGCTGCAACAGATCATGGCGAATTGCACAGGAAAGGACCTGGCCATCCTGGTGGAATACCTAAATACCAAGGTATGGATGGACAACAACAGGAATGGAGATGTCATGGGACGACATGAACTGACTAGGAGAAAGGAACGAGAGTGGTGAGTGGTTTACAAATTTATGTGCCTTCGACAAAACGATTGTAGGAGGAACTATATTTCCCCGGCAAACGCATTCACAAAGCTACATGGGTATCGCTGAGTCATAATACAGAAAACACGATCGATCATTTTTTCTCACTAAGGAATTCGGAGGATCCACTGAAGACGTTAAAAAAAAGGATGTATTTGACACTGAACAACTGTAGAAATAGCCTTAGATAAGTTCGAAACAACCTTTTTTGAGTTACTGACGAACTCAACGTATTCAAGATAGCTCTCAGTAGCAGGTTTCAAGTTTAAAAGACACATTGAACGATCAGGAAACTACTATGGAGGACAACTGTGAAATGATCAAAGAGGGCTTAAGTTCAGCGTGTCAGTAGGTTCTGAGCAGCAAGAGTCATCACCATAAATAACGGATTAACACCGATAAACTAGACAGTATCAAAAAAGGAGGAACAAGGGAGCAGCAAGTACTAAAAATTCGATCTCCGTCTGTCGCTTCGAAAAGCTTGTTTCACGTGCGCTTATCCGGGGACCCTATGGCATCTTCGTCTGCTCTTGCTGGCGTTGGTGTCGCACTAAGCGCTAGAGCTGAGGCAGCACTAGTCGATTAGATCCCCATTAACAGTCGGTTGTGTGCTGTTAGATTAGAAAGTTCCATCAAAGTGAGAAGAAATCGGCGTGAGAAACGATGTCTTTTCGTCATCTCCGCCTATGCTCCGAGAGATTCCAGCCCGGATGCAATCGAGGATGAATCCTACCACCAGTTAACTGTTCTCCAGAAAGTGCGTCCGACAGATATTGTAGTATTAGCCGGAGACTTGAATGCTCAGGTCGGGCGTCTAGGCACAGAAGAGAGTCGTTTAGGTGGCCGATGAGGACTTGTTGGTCGCAGGACAGATAACGGGGACCGTCTACTGCAACTGTGCACAGACCACAACCTGTTTCTGGCTAGCACTAACTTTCGGCACAGTCATCGCCGATTTGCCACCCGGCGTCCTCCCTCTGCATCTCAAGCCTGAACTCAGATTGATCACATCGCGATCAGCTACCGCTGGCGTGGTTGTGTTCAAGACTGCCGCTCCTTTTCGAGTACCTATCTGGAATCTGATCATGCTTTGGTGTGCGCCAATCTTAACTTACTTTTCAGTGGACAAAGAAGTGACTGCCATCAACGGATTGATATTAGCAAGCTGGTTGCAAATTCTGTCGCTAGTAAGTATCGAACCGAGCTAGCTTCTAGGCTAGCTACCATTCCACCGAAAAGTATAGATGAGCATTGGTTGCAATTGCATGACGCCATGAAAATGGCGGGTACAGTCAGTTGCGGGTTCGCGAAACGTCCCGCTTATAAGCACTGGGTTTCTTCAGGCTCCTTACAACTCATTGAAGCCCGTCGGTCTACTCCGGGTGACCGTGAGTTTGACCACAAACGAAGGATGTTACGTAAGAAAATCGGGCAAAGCTTGCGTAAGGACCGAGAAGCCTGGTGGTCGGAGTATGCTAATGAGCTGGAAGCAGCAGCTGCATCTGGTAACTACCGGAAGCTCTTCCAACTCATCCGAGCCACTAGCAGCAAGAAGTCTGGTGTGAGCGAAACAATCTGTGAGGATGACGGGATGCCAATCACTAACATCCATCGACGTCTTGGACGATGGGCAGAATTTTTCGAAGGGCAGTTCAACTGGCCTGCTGCTCCGGCAACATCTGTCAGACTGTCCTATCCTCCATGGCCGGTGACGACTGATCCACCAAACGAGGAGGAAGTCCGCAAGGAACTCCAACTCTTGAAGTGCTACAAATCACCTGACCCAAGTGACTTACCTCCGGCTCTTTTTAAAGATGGTGGTGACTTTCTGACTAAGGAACCGACGACGTTGTTTACAAAGGTTTGGGAACTAGAGGGTGTACCAACGTCATGGAATGAGTCGATAGTTGTCCCTATCTTTAAAAAGGATTCACGTCGTTCCTGTAACAACTATCGTAGGATAAGTCTACTTCCGATTGTGTCCAAACTATTGGCTTACGTCATACTTCGTAGGTTGTTCAAAACCCGAGAAAGATTGACTCGCGAGGAGCAGGCTGGGTTTCGTTCCGGTCGAGGATGTATTGATCATATCTTCACCCTCCTCCGAGTGTTAGAACACCGCCACACTTATCAAAAGCCAACAATCGTAGTGTTTCTTGACATCAGGACTGCCTTCGATTCGTTGGATAGGACTGTTCTCTGGGATTGTCTATTGAAGAAGGG